ACTCCTAACAACTTCGTGGTACACACGATACTTTTGTTTGTTTATTTCGATTATGGAAGCAGTGTACGGCGATAAGACGATGACGAGGCGACATTTCGGTTCCGCGGAAGGTGGGACAAGCCACGGGAATTCGAACGAAGAGCAGTAAATTGAATTTGTCGGGGCGCTAATGCCCGATACGTACAGTTGGCCGGCGTCGAACCGTAAAATGTAATTGAAACCGTTCTGACCCGGTCGTAAAAAGGCGAGGCCGGAATTCTTGGAATTTAAAAATCCCAATGAGCCGGCGTATTTTTCAATTTCGACGCTGTAACGCGATATTGAACGGCCAGTATTGGATTATCGAGGAGGAAGGGTCGATCCACCAGTGAAACTTCGACAATGAGATTAATAAGAGAGGACCAAATTCTATAAGGTCCAATTTCTGGCGTCCTTTAAGCGAAAATTGGATTCTCCGGTTTGACTTGTTCCATGGTTATTATCGACGTTTTCCCGTTATTGTCACGAGGTATCGTTTACCATCGAGGAAAGTGGGGAAAGAAACGATTCTATGATATTATTATTACCATATCCTCTTTATTACGTATTTGAACGTACAAGATATACATAATACTGGAACTTATATGTAGATAGAAGTGTATAATAAAAAAAATTGTATAAAAGGCGAAACATAACGAGACTGTTTTTAAACCTAACCTCAACGATAACAAAAATAAAAGTGTAACCTCTCTACAATGGGGAACACATGAATTTTACTGCTGAATGACGCAACACGTTGTGGTCAGAAAATGAGGGGGCAAAAGGGACATTTATCACAGTACACACTGGCCCTGAATAAATTGACTTTTTGTCACGTACCAGTCGCCGGTCGCGGAACCGATGGAAAGAAATTACCGGTCAGATAAAATCCTGATGATGCTAGGTCGCGCCAACCACGGTTTACTTACTCAGCTTTCGCCAAAGAGAGAGAGAGGGAGATGAAAAGAGACGAGATGGCCGTGTTCGATCTACCAAGATTGCCATGTACTTCCGACCCGGTCGATCGGTCAAGAGAATCGATGACAAACGAGCAAGTGGATAAATAAGTAGAATTTATCTCGCGTGTAAGGATTGAATTTAACGAGCAGACGTCGCTGTAATTGCGGCCAGAACACGACAGGGATTATCAAGACTAATTAAGGGAGATTCGAAGACCTTAGACTACGAAATAATAGAGATGGCGTTAAGGGGGATTTCCAAATACTAATTAGAAAGCGGCATGCTCAATGACAAACCCGTGCATTTTGTAATCCCAGTGAGATAACGATATAATAGATGGCGGTAAAGAAGCATTGAAATTTTGATCCTCAAAGCGATATAACTTGACTAGGATGAAAATTTTATCTCGTCCGGCCTCCTGGCAGCGTTTTATTTATTTAATGACTCGGCTATAGGATGTAATTAAATAGCTCGATTTTACTGTGCAAAACGACCGTGCTTTCGGGCAAATATTAATCAACCAGTAAAGAGGGTGGAGATATTCCGTTTCGCTAGTAATGCACAACTGAAAAGCAGGTTGAATATAACATTACAAAATACACCCTCGTTTTATTTATAAGCGAGCAGCGCTAAGTATAGTATGTACAAGGCAAGGCTTGGTGCATGGTCCAGAAAAGTTTGATTTTTGGCAACGACGGGCCGCACCATCACGTACAACACTTATTTCCTTCCCTTTTCAGTACCTTCTGGCACTTTTCCCTGCCAACGTCCAACTTCGTTCGACCACATATGCGCAGCCTTCCTATTCCACGACTAGGTAGACACATTGCATCTGTCTCGTAACACCCGGGGGATGTATGGTCGGATGCCGGGGAACATGGAGTAGTCTATGATCGACGCTTCGTTGGGATAAAAAAAATTTTCTATCGCTGTACAGGCTGAAAATAAGTCTCGAGGACTTTTCCATGCTGTTTTAAAATGTTCTTAAAGTATAAAATATCATATAAGGATTTTTATGTATTTATTTTTAAGTAAAGAACTGACAGTACCTTCTGTCTTTGATGTATGTCTGACCTTTGGTTGATCTGTTCCCCCTACTACACTCTACACGTAATTCATATCACTCGAATCAAATAAATATGATTCCGAGGATCACAGAACATTACTTACGACTCAAGAACTCGAAAGGTGATATTTTTGTACCTAACCTATCCATATAACTAAGCACATTAATCATTCTTCTTCTTTTTCCTCAGAAGCTCCGTCTTAAGCCACTACAAGTCCGAGCAGACCCATAATACATCCAGAAAATCCTCCATCTTCCGCTCAGCAATTTCCGCCTTATTTATTACCAGTAATTTTTAATATCGCGTTATTGTACGAACCGCAGCACCGGTAGCAGGAGCCTCGTTAAGAAATCTTTCGTGTGGAAACTTGTACTCTCTCAGTCTGTGATATCACTTATTCCTCGGAACCTTCACTTTTTCCTGGCACTGTTCCCTCATTCAACCAAAACCAACCATTCAACCAACTGAAGCCTGCGGAGCGCCATAGGCTCCATAGTGACAAAACGAGACCCGGCTAGACATTGTCAAAAATTCGAATAGACCAGATCAGTATCGGCTCACGCTGAATAAAGGAAACACTGTAGAGAGAATTTTCCCGCTGACCAGAAGAATCGAGAAATGAATTAAAATGGACTCTTTAATGTCGATATCGGGTGTGCATCGATTTTCGAGGCACGCATACCAATCGGCAGTCAGAAAGAGAAGACAGGGTGTCAGAAAGAAGAGGGGAAGGGCAAAGCGCGAGAAGCTATAATTAAGCAACAGGTTGTAGCTTCTTCGCGGGAATTTATGAGCGGCACCGACGGGGGACGTACGATCCACAGTTTTATTGAATTTTAACTCTTCGTGCCCTCTCTCCTCTGGCACGTGAATGCTCGAGGCTTTTTCGAGGACCGGCAGCGGCATCGATCGACTGACTCCGGAACGGCAATTGATTGTAAAAAGGCCGCGCGTGATCAATAACGCGGAAAGAAGCGCCGCTTGCCAACCGGTGAACCTGGAACTGTTCCGCGTCCCTATATTCAGGGAAGATTAAAGGGCAACTGGGACGGCAAATGTTAATGGAACACGCGAAATCGGGGCTTTCCAGGTTCTTCCGCCGAGCGCTGCTTCCGGCCAAGAATTTCGACGCGCTGCATGGAAATTAACGAGCTTTTATCGGCGTACACCGTTGCCAGGAATAATGGCTCACTTCTTTTTTTTAGCATGTGCAGGTCGTTCTAAAAATAAGGTCAATATTTAAACTCTTAAATAGCTGAGGAAATATTATTACACTTTTCAGGCTATTAGAATAAGTGTTAAACTACTATTCATTCATTAGAATACACCTTGTATCTTCTTTCTCTGGTAAAGAAATTACCATAAATAATTATACAAGCAGATGTTCATTTAGTATTCACAAGGGAGGGACAACAGACACGCGAGAATTCCATAAGTACGCCCAGGACGGGCTATCAACAATACCTAACCACCAAACATCAGCTACGACAAGAAATCCGCCAGCGGGTCCAATTACAGAAATCGCTGGTGCGATCATCGTATTGGGCACGCGAAGGAGGCCAAAACTACACGGGCAATTTGCGTGGGGAAGGGCGCGTGGAACTGGAGCGAGAAACTCCGAGCCACGGTTGTTACGCAAAATCGTTCTTTCCACCGCTTTTCTAAGTACCGTGAGGGGAACCTGTCGGGATCCATGAAAGTTGGAATCGTCGATCCGCGATTCGACTTGCCTATTCTTGGCCGACGATTCACCGGCCCCAATTTCGCATCGATGGAAACGACCCTGGGTATGGGAGGATGAAGGGGGGCAGGCGGTTGATCCACCGCGAAGAGGTCCTCTCAATCTCCAGTCGATTTTCTCGTGCACCGACCCAATTTCGAAGCTGGTGCGGGCAATTTAACCGAGGCCCATGCTGTTCGTTGAGCGTCGTCCGTCGGATTGCTGGAACGTCGCTTCCTCCTCGCGATGTAACGCTTCAAACTGATTTTGACACTGTGCATTCTTTAAAATGAGACATTTTCGTGTCTCGTCATATTAACCGCCATCTTATATCATTAAATTACTCCAAAGCTGGAAGTATCTTGATACCTAAATGAAAACTATATTTGTAAAAATGTTACTCGGATGTTTGACGAAATGCATTGCTATTGTTTTGATACTGTTTCTCATATGGGTTCTCATGATATCTTAGGTTACTGTTATTGCAGATTGTTTCAGTAACAACATGACTATATTGGTTTTCTTTGCAAGTAGTGGCTCGTAACCTTCATAATTCTCTGGCTATTTAGAAAGTAGTTTGTTCCTTCCTGTTTCTTCTCCCTTCCGTATTCAATTGACCGTGCGTAGTTCAAGTTGCTCGCAATTCCGGTGACACTCGTACGAAGCGGCGCCATATATTTGTGGGCCAAGCCAAATTACCATATTCTAGTCTGCGCTACATGTTCCTGGGCCACGTTTGGCCCAGATTCCGCGCGACGACTTAATAAACACAGCCTTTAGGTGGCACGCGTACCATCTCACGCAGTTTCTCGTTTAAATCTGGTTACCTTTCACGAGATATACCAACGCACAGGTATATTCTTCCTTTTCTTTCTTCGTCAATGATGGTCAGGGTAGAAGAATATGATGAAAAGGGGTACACCGGAATCTGGCTATTTGTCCCGGAAATAAGGACACATTCCAGGTTCGAGGGATAAATATAAGCGGCTGAATAGAATTAGCATAATCCTGGTCGCTATCTCTGCGAGTTTCTGGCTTCTTCCTCCAACTACGCTGTATTGTTTCTCCGTCTTAATAAGTGTTCCGTATTAAAATCACGAACAGTATGCTTATCCTGCAGAATTTGCACGAATTAAATAAAAGGTTCTCGCTAGTTTCGTTGATTTAACTTGATGCTAATGGAGATGAATATTTTTTATGCGTTTTTTACTGCTCGTTTCCCAGGGTGAGGGGGCATGTTGATGTGCCGGCGGTTGCTGCTGATCGCAGCCGCGATCACGGCCTCAATCAAGGCTAGCTCCGCTAGTTACCATCCTGGGATTTCCTCAGACTACTCTAGCTATTCTGGATATCCGGTCTACCCAGCCTTCACGTCGTCAGAGTCCTCGTCGACTGCGACCACTACGCCGACTGCTGGTCTGGAAAATGTGCCAGTCTGCAGGTACTACTGTCTATTCCATAGACTATAATTTCTTTTTTAATTTCAGGCTTTTAGCTCAATTATCAAATTTATAAATACTTTGTATATCATCTTGGTTCCAAACGTCCTTAGCACAAAGAGTCTAGCAGGATAAGATTGTCAAAATTGCCCTTGGACCAATTTAGTTGTACGATATACCATTTGATAGCTTACCAAAAGAAAACATTTGACACCAACTTTCAACCCTCTAGCTCGACCTAGGGTGTAATTACAGCGTGAATTACGTTCTTCAGTTTTTGGAGTATTTTTCCTATTTAATGGTACGTAAAAATTTTGAAAAAAATCTGACACATTGCGTACATGAAGGCACATGTTAAGAAATTTTTTCGTTGCAAATCCTAATTGTAAAAAATAAAAAACGTGAAAAGAAGGCAGATATCTTTATATCTTTTGAAATATTGAAGTGACTATTTTTATATTTATTTAGTAGCAGCATCTTGACACAATTATTATCCTCAATGTTTTGGTAAAATGCACCATTAATTTAAAAAAAAATTAAAAGCCAATTTGTTCGCTGTATTTTACTTGTAAAAGTAATTTTCATTGTCAAATGTGTTGTTGCAGTGGTTAAGTGTCTGCCTGCAGAACCGTTATAAGTTTTTTGGTCATGCGTCCGCGCCTCGCCAGACTAACTTTTGTTTAATATATTAATGATACATTTCTAAAAGTCAATGAATAGTATTTGTATAAAAACATTTTGGAAATATATTAAGAATATTTCATTTCAATATGAAACTCACCTACAGTTATTAAAGATAAGAAATTTTAAAACCGAATTCTTACATTCATTTAATGTAGAAAATGTTAAACAGTACTATAATTAAAAGAATACGTGGTCACAGAAACGATGGAATAAAAGAATACTTCAAAATTATTTTTGCGTATATTTTATGTAAAAATGTTTTTAAAATATTTTCAAAATGTTTTTAAATCAATACTATTCTTTGACATATAATTAGGAATTGAAAAAGAAATATGCAGGTAATATAAAAAAAAGGGAGTCTGGTGATGCTCGAAATCACGACCAGTGCTTAACCGTTACACCAACGATACTGTTAAAAATATGATAGATATTTTAGAATATAACGAATAGGGCAGTTTTCATTAGTTGAGTTATTCAACTTCTTTAATTTATATATTGTTCTTTCGAATGTGAAAATGTTTAAGATTGCGTAATATACACACTGAATAAAGGAAATATAAAAATTCAAAGTAGAAGTTCCTTTTTCACGAGAAATACCTTTAAAAAGTTGGTTTTTAATGTTTTTAACTACGGCATACCTTACCAAAAAATCTGAAAAAAATTGAGGATAATAGTTATGTCAAGATGCTGCTATTAAATAAATATAAAAGTAGTCGCTTCAATATTTCAAAAGATATCTGCCTTTTTCTACGTTTTTTATTTTTTACAATAAGGATTTGCAACGAAAAATTCTCTAACATGTGCCTTTATATACACAATGTGCTCAATTTTTTTTAAATTTTTGCGTACCACTACATAGGGAAAATAGTCCAAAAACTACACCCTAGGTTGAGCTAGAGGATTGAAAGTTGGTGTCAAATGTTTTCTTTCGGTAAGATATCAAATGGTATATTACATATCCAAATTAGTTCAAGGGCACTTTAAACCATTTTTCCTGCTAAACCCTTTGCCTATCACTAATTTTATCACATTTTATGAAACATCCCGTAGATTCCGTAGAATAAATTAAAAATCGTTTCTAAACTCCATTGTTCACGTTTGATGAAATGTGTCTTTTCTTACACTTATTCGTCTTTATGCTTTCCATTCACTGCGTTTACGAAAGTAGGATTAAATCGTGATCCGAAAACGATCGTTTTCAACGATGGTCCGCCAATTAAATCGTATGCGTGTTCATCTCGAACAATATATCCTACGAGTTTACTTGCATTCCATTTGCAGGCCGTCTGAGTACCTATGCGGCACCGGAAACTGCGTCGCCCAGGACAAATACTGCGACGGCGAAAATGACTGCGGCGACAAGTCCGACGAGCCGAAATATTGCACCCGTGAGTCTGTGATTTATCTTCAAAAATTTTCATATCCCTTGTAACACTTCAAAATTCACTCTATTTCTCAATCATGCATCCATACATGTATCATAAATCTAGAATAAAAAAGAAGAATAATCAGTAAACTCATATGAAGTTACTCGATATCTTCAAGATAAATGTTTTTATACAGTAAAGTAACTTCAGATTCTACTATACTACCCAAGCCGCAAAACATTCCCTTCTGCAATCTTTCCTATTCTACCTTCTAGCAATCTTGTATTCTTCTATTGCAAGAAGAAAAGTAGAATCCCTCGCAAGAGTGGCGGTCGTTGCAATAGGATTTTTATTTCTCGTACGTGATATTGCAGCGTGCAACAGAACACTGTACGGCGACGTCGGCCGGACCTACCGGGTGGAAGTCCGTCGGCCGAGGGAGGATCGACTGCCATTCTTGTGTCATCTCAACTTCACTGCCGCCGGGTCTGATCTCGGAGACCTAGTTCAGGTGGGGAGAAGCAAGAAAAAGTGGCAGAATCCTTCGGTAGAAAAATAAACCGCTGACTTGTCGAGGAACGAACGGGAGAATTGTCACGAGGCAGACGCACATACAGAATGTAGTGGCGGATAATAATTTTTTCTCTATTCCTAGGGATACAGACAGACACGCGCGCGCGCACGTTTTAGCGAAAATAAATTGTCTCTCTCGAAAATCCTTTTTGTAAGTTCATTTATTTCAGTGTTTGTCCTCTTTAATCTCGTTCCTTTAATTTTTTCCCATCTTTCTTTTTATTTTCTCTGTTTTACGTTGCTCGCTTTTTTTGTGCGTGTTTTGAGTGGTCCGCAGTAAGTCGTCGTCTATCGGGTCGCTGCAGGGGCTCTCGTCGATCCTTTGTTATTGAAATACACTGGCAGATTTTTCATTTACTTTTGTTACGTTTTACTTCGCGCTTTTTGCGACCATTGCTACCGAAGATTAAATAATGGAATACTGATAAAAGATTCCTGAACTTCTGCAGTAATCTAATAGCCAAGTACAATTTTCCAAGCTTCTGTAGTCTGTATAATGCAGTGTTTTTTTAATTCCTTCAGTACTCACAAATTATTGTTAGTAATAATATTGAGGGTATTGAAGGATAACGAGGATTAATATTACCAAGTGTCCTCCTGAAATTACTGGAATTGCAGTTAACCTTCGACACGTTCACTGTTGGTCGATTTCTCTCGTATACATCTGAAGGATGTCCGGATGGTTTCATGACCATCCGCGAGAAGGGTCGCCCAGCGACCGGTGGGCAATGGTGCGGAAGTGCGTGGGGATACACCGTGTACTACAGTGAGACACCTTCCATCAACCTCACTTTGTATTTGCTTCGGTTATCTGAGCAGGTAAACCATTCTCAAAGAGCTAAACAACCTTTTTTCAATTTTTTTCTGTAAATTCTGAACTCTTCGAATATTTCTTATGAACAGGGCAACGGCTATAATTTCGATTTCAAGTTGTCGTACAAGTTCCTGAGACGCAGTGAGGCACATCTTAGATATGGAAACAGTAGCATGTCCACGTGGCGGGGGGAGCTGGTGAATGGCACGTATTGCGACCGCGTGCTCACCAAGTGTGACACACGAGCCTGTCGACTTCAATCGCCCAACTACCCGGGCGTTTATCCTAGGAACGTCACCTGCTATTACCGTGTGGAACAGAACAGGGCACCACCGGGTCATAGAGCGTTACTAGCAGTAAGTCAGCGGAACAGCCATAAGATACACATCAAAGACCAGGTCGTTAAGTATGATGGTAGCCAGAGGATATTAAGGTAATCTCTCCAGCTTCACAATTATTTTCTAATCCTTTAAAAAATTTGAAATTAATTTTTCTCTTCATTTAAATTAAATATCGTAGAGTCTGGGATCAATGCAACGTGGTGCAAGATTACTTGACGGTGTATGATGGAGGCTCTACATCTGACAAGGTGCTGGTCCGACTTTGTGGCGGTGACGCTGTGCCAGATATAGTCAGCAGCCATAACACGATGCTTTTGGAGTTCCACACGTCCCCTTACGACAATCCCTTTCATCCTGTTCCGTTGTCCTTTTTACCGGGCTTTGAGCTCCAGGTTCAGGTACTTTCCAAATGTCTGAAAGTATTTTTCAATAGTCAAAACAGTTTTACATCTAAAGAATTACACATCTGATCTACAGGTGTTGTTCGTGGACGAGAAGTCCAGGAGTTTCGTGAAGGAGAACAACAATTGTGACTTTTATATATCCAGCGACGAGAGTCCTTCAGGAATGCTGGAAAATCCAAAGCATTCTCTACCCCCGAATACTACTTGCCGCTACCACTTCCAGGGCAAGCCGAACGATATTGTTTGGCTGTCTTTTATCAAATACTATGCTGCCAGTGCTGACGCCGCCGCGAGTATTGATGATGTTGCCTCTCACTGCAACGCGAAGCTCCTCATATGGGACGGTGATCACACGATAGATAAATTAATTCCAACGCGTAAGGTACGTTCTGTGTTTTGTTTCTTCTTCTTCCATTAATCCTATGATAGTATATTAACCCTTTGACTGCGGAGCGTTCAGAAACGAAACGGACCAATCGTGTAGTGCTTTAGTTGCAACAGCCGTAACAGTGGGCGCTTGAAGGCGCTGTTCGCCCGGAGAAAGCGACTTTTACTGAGCGCCTATAGGCGCTGTTCGCAGTTAAAGGGTTAAAGATAAAAGAGTAAAAGTCGCTCTTAAATTAATTTTATGTTCATTTATAGAATATTACACTAATGGGACAGTTCTGCAAGGACGACACGCCCCGTCTTTGTGACCATAGTCTGCTGAAAAACGGGAGCAGGCACACGAGACCCTGCAGCCTCGCGGAAAGCTATGTCTCTAGCGGCAAGGACCTGACCCTGGAGCACATATTGCGTCAAGGAAGTGCACTTTATCCGATAAGCTTTGTACTGCGTTACGAGTTCGTGCACGAAGCGGTTTCCTGCAACCATGTGTTCGGTTCCGCATCAACTTCATCCATGTCTTCCACGTCCTCTTTGTCCTCATCGTTGTCGTCCTCCTCGTCATCCTCTTCATCCTCCACGCCCGCGAAAGCGGGGAAATTCGCATCGCCGAAAAGTGTGTTCTTCTACGGTCGCGGTGGTGCTCAGAACGTTAGTTGTGTGTACCGTTTCGAAGCTGAGCTGGATCATAGGATAGAACTGTCTGTGAGCAGAGCTTCCTTTGGGGAGAAAGGATGTTCCTCTTATGTGGATCCGCTGGTGAATCGATGGACTTGTGACAGGCGTCTGGGAGATTCCAATAAAGTGGGCACAGCAGAGCTGATTGTCGCTGAGTATCCCTGGCATGGAGTGGAATTGGTAAATGATACGTAAACGCATAAATAATCAATCTACCGTAGATTGAAGATACTTTGAATAAAACACTGTCTGTTTATTCAGGTTCGCGACTGCTTGTGCTCCAACGTGAGCGACAGGATCGTCCTGAGGACTCTGACATCCAACGTGGTCGAGGTTCGATTCACAGTGACCCTCATGAATGTCACACAGGACTATAGGGACTTCTACTTTGAAGGAGAATACCGTTTCGTCGCTTTAGGAGCAGAGACGAGCGAGCAAGGCTGTTCTACTAAGTTAGAAGAGCGACGATTACGTGGGACCAGTGGTGAAATCTCCCTCAGGAGTCCTCTTCCTCGAGTAATTCCCGGTGTGGCTGCTGTAGAAGAGATTCTGACCAATACAGAAGACTTAACTGCCACTCAGTGTGTGAATGAGCCCTGGTTGATAGAACCAGAGGATGCAAGGATCAACTACTTGTACTTAAGAACCGCTGGATACAGTATCACACTAGACAATGTTGAAGAATGCACAACATTGAACAGAATTGTGGTTTACTCAGCAGCTAATACTAAGGACCGTAGTGTCATTTGCCCTGAGGGAGGAGTAGACACTGCTAGAACTGTGGATTTCTTCTCTGGTGGATGGAATTACAGTGCGATTAATGCTACAGTAGCCATGGCTCAACATTCGAGGAGCTTTGTTGTGGAGTTCCTTCAAAGAGAACCTGGGTTCTATGCTGTCACATGGATGGCTATTTCCAAGAGGTCTCCTACTCCTAGCATTGGGCCAAATATCTTCACTATACTGCCACAGGAAGACTGTCCTTATAGGTAAGCTCTTATCATATTCCTATTATCTGCACACACACTACATTATAAAACAAAAGACACTAGTTTTCATGCCCACTAAAACCAGCTATTTCCATGTTTTTCTCTCTTTTGCAGATGTCCAGAAATTCAGGCATGCATAAGTTCTGTTCTATGGTGCGATGGGATCCGCCATTGTCCTTCCGGTTTCGACGAGGAGGAGGCCAACTGCTCATACCGTTTCGGTGTAACGTTATTATACGTGGCCGTGGGCGCTGGTGCACTGGGTATATTCCTGATCCTGCTTCTCGCCACCGGTTGCCTCAAGTACTGCCTATATCGACACAAAGCTCGTAAGAAAAAAAAGAACGTCGCCCTGAATGTGAACCATCTTCATGTCAACCACACGCATCACAACAATGGTCTGACCGGAAGTCGCCTGAGCGGCCGCTATAACCTCGCCACGCCGCAAGAGATGTATATGGAGAATTACGGGAAGGATAGTATTTGTTGACAATACGCCATCGCCAATATCGAGACCACCGTGTGAATATAACAAGGATTTTTAAATACACCTACCTCGCTGGCCTCTGATCCCCTCCGTGGAAAGGAGCAGACGACAAATGTTCCCCAATTCTGGTGGCGCGCACGCGCGAGAAAAAAAAATCATATACGCAATAATCGTATTAAACTCCGTAGACCAATTCGAAGGCATTTAACGAACGAGCGGGTGCAGAATTATTTCGAAGCCTCGATCACGATCTACGCTTTGTCGTAATTTATTTACGGTTTCATTTCATACTTTTTATTCGATGGGGAAAAGCAGTTAAATTTGTTAAATTTTT